AAGAACTTAATAAATTTTTTTTGGCATAAAACAAGTCATAGAATTTTCATCCCAGAAGTAACTCATGAAATTATTTTTAACAGAATGAGATAAATGGAACTATATATATTTTGAGAGTGAAAACCCAAAGCCGCGCCCTTTTTTAATCAAGTAGTAAGCAAACAACTTATCTGACATTAAACTTCAACCAAGAATGCAATTACGAAAAAGAAGTTTAATACAAACTTATTCTCTCAAAATTCAACAAAAGAGGTATTATCAGGTAATTACCCACATGCTTTTCATATAAGGCTTCAATGAGTAAAGACAAACCTAGAAGATATTTATATTCTAACCTATCACTATCCTCCAAGTGAAATTGGAAGTATAAATGTAACTCGAGGCCATTTCATCTCTTTTTTGAAATTCAAGGAGATACTCCAACCGACAAAGAGTAAAACTACGCTTAGAGCTACGAAAAAAACTCATATTTGAAAATCATGAATATTCTCTAACACCTCTAAACTTATGCATGCTCACCAAAGGTGTATGAATAAACACAACACTCTCCAACATATCTCTAAAAATACTTTATGAAAGACTTACGAATAGTCATCACTTCTTTCCAAATTATATAACAACTAATACTGCCAATGTGTGGAAGGGTTATTGAAATTTTCTCATGTGTGAATGTAGTATGCGACAAGATATAAACCATCCTTCGACACAAATTATAAAGCCAATGTAATTTCAAAAGCACCAACAACTTCTCTTTAACACCACTGCAAGAGAGTATATAAATCTCTTTTTTTTTTACCTCTACAAAAAGAAATCATATCTCAACTATAGTCATCTCATCGCAAATAATAACAGAAGAAGATAACCAAATTTTATTCAACCACACTATGAACATCCATATAACAATCTAAAGCATGGACACGATCATGAACAAGAAAGAGACTTATATCTATGTAGCAGAAATTAAAGAAATCATTCAATGAGCATATATGAAAGAAAAGAAATTATAAGTCACCATCATCTCATCTCCAGACAAAAGACCAAAGTAAAATAGATCTAAAACTTCAATCTCTAATACCCTCTTTTTGAAGAAATAGGTTGAGTATAAGAAAATGTAAGGGAAGAAGAAGAAGGGCAAATGAAAGAGGTATACCTGCCTAAATCGTCGTCGGGGCTTGGCGTCGGGCTCGAACGAAGCAGGAGGTCGTCGGCTCTAGCATGCGAGGAGCGACAAAAGTTTAAGGTATCGGCCCTGGCGTCGGGTCGGAGGGGGAGGATGAAGCGGCGAACGGGAGACAGAGAGATGGAGGCGGCTAGCATCGAGTTCGGTCCAGCTAGTCGCACGAGAGAGCCGGAGACAGCGGGGTTCGGCTTGGCTTGAGGTCGTCCAAACGGGGTGGTTCCGTTCGGCAAAGCCACGCGAGAGAGAGAGAGAGAGAGAGAGAGAGAGAGAGAGAGAGAGAGAGAGAGAGCTTCGGTCTGGGCTCACGAACGGAGGGAGGCCGAGAGGGAGATCCGTTTCGATTTGCCTGGGCTTGTCCGAAAATCTGAGAGGGAGAGAGCCTTGGGAACTCCAGGATCTCGCGTGAGAAGGAGGCTTTGGCTCTTTTGGGATTTGCGAACTAGAGGGAGACGGGAGAAGGGAAGGAGTTCCTTCTTGCGAACTGAGCCAGAGAATCCGAGAGGGAGCGGGGAAGATGAAGTCGGGTGTGTGGGAGAGCAGGAGAGCTTTTTTTTCGCCTCCTCTTGTCTGGTCCCAACAGAGAGAGAGCAGCGCGAGTGATCCCCGCATTTTGGCTTCGGTTAGGGCACTAGAAGGAGAGCAGGGAGATCGGGGCGGTCGGATCAAGTTCTTGATCGGACCGTAGGATTCCAATTTTTTTTTTAAATTAATCGATTCTTGATTAGGATTTAGCTAAACCCAAAGGACTAAAACCAAGTTCAAAATTGGGTCAAGTATGGTTCGATCCGGGTCAACTCGAGCTCGCCTCGACTCGACCAAAACTAATTCAATAAAATAGGATAAAAATAAATCGAACTCAAATCCATGCCGATTCGACTTAAATCGAGCCCGACGAGGCCCGATCGAATCGATCAAATGCGCCTGAGGCCTAATCAGGACAAAAACGAGGTCAACACATGTTATCGATTTTTAACTATCTATATGTGAATACCTAATTTATGTAATCTTTATAAGGAAAATCAACACTTGTTCTCAAATAATCTCATCCTCTTCAACTGTGAGAAAAGAATTATCATTGTACTTTCTATTATATAGTGGATTATTCAACTAGATCAAGTCCCATTATTTTTAGGTTTTCTACATAAAAAATTTTCTCATTTTCTACAACTTTCACTATGCGTGCTGATTTTTATGAAATACTATAATATTAGAAAATAATTTGAAAATATTAAAATAGGAATTTTCACATTTCTATGACTTAAAGGCATTAAAAAAATCACTTGAAACTCACCTTGATTTGGTTCAAATAACTAAAATCTCTCATTAAAAGTTTCCAAATTTTACCATGGAGGCTCATAAACCTGTATAGGTAATTATTAAGTAGTTTTTAGAACATACTAATAAAACTTACTTATTGATTACTTCTCTTTATACCCTCGCCATCATCATCATCATTATCATCTCCTTTAAGCTCAAAATCTATAACATCATATGGTTACGACCTTTCTCTTATAGGCCAATGCTTAATCATCCAGCCTATGTGGCTCTCAATCTATTATACCACCCTTCAATTGCCTACTAGTTGTCCCTCGAGATGACTAGTCTCACCATACTAAGAGAGAGAGAGAGGATGAAATTAGTGGGTGAAATGGCTAGGAGTGGTGTGTTATTCAATTATGTATGCACTAAGGTTGAGATAGAGGTATTTATATTCAATTATAAACTTGATTATATGACCAAGGCTAGCTTAAGCAGTGTGATATGATGCATAATGAAAAATATCATATGTTGAATGTTAAAGAGTAGAGAACGTCATAAATGACTAAGGAAATGATGAGATTGAGTGTTTTTAAATCACCAGCCTTTTATAGGATGGAGTGACAAAGAATGTATTGTGACAATCATAAATGTTGGGATAACCTCAATCAACATGATGTGAATGCTTGTGATATGCTGCCTAAAAGGTGAGCGATGAAGTCTAAGATTTATATTTGACTGCCAAAATGGTTGGTGAAAATCTTCAATCACCCATAATTTGTCACCATCACTCAATTGTGAGAAGAATGTTACCATATCCTCCTTGTTGATCTCAATTTCTCCTACAAACACTTTTTCTCTTCTATTCAAAGCTTATGAAGGCAATGAAAAGAATACATGACAGCTAATAGAAGAAGGAGAGGGGTAAATTTATAGATGAAAATGAACGAATTTTAAATTTTTAGAAATTAAAATTGATTGTGCATAATTAATGGATATAACTAGGTTTACTTGTGAGTTTTGTAGCGCCAACATGAGGGTCTTGAGGTCGTTAAGGTTTGGGGGTAACCAGTTACCAACCTGGAGCCCATAATGGTTATATGTGGAGGTTTCAGCGATATTTGCGTAACACAAGATAACGATGATTGCACACTCACTAGTGGAGGTTGTGAGGGTTCTATGTGGAGGCCTCAAACGACATTTGCATAACACAAGATAGCGATGATTGCACAGTCACTAGTCTTCACATGTTACACAAATCAATGAGAGTCGCATTATATTTTGATTATGTATAATTCAAATGAAAAAGAAATATGATAGATTCTTTGTTTGAGATGAATGCAATGTTTTATAAAGTTGATTGTAAAGTTGTTGTGGAGAAAAATAGCTTCGCTACTGATATATTCTCAAAAAATTATTTTGATCTAGCACGAATCTCAAAGCAATATCAAGCCGGAAACTTCAAAAATTAAATCTGAGAGCACTTGAACTTCGATTTCAGTGAGCTTATAGTCAAACTAAGCGTCTTGGAAATACGAATCCAACGACACCAAACTCAACTCAATCCGAGCCCAAATGAGCCCAAATCAAGCACCCGAAATGTTGTTGGAAAGTTAATACCACAATTTGAGTTACCAAACAGTATTCGATTTTAACGAGCTTATACTCAAATCGAACGGCTCGACGAGACGAATCCAATGAGCCCAAGATCGCCAAATTTCGACATCATAAAGACCTTCAAATGTCTGACTAACGGTGCACGATCAAGGGATTCAATATCAACCATCCATTCGACTACTCCCTATTTGCCCCCGATCTCACACTTATTTACGAGCTATGCCACTCCAGAAATCTATAAATAGAATCCTCATTTCTCATGAGAGGGGGACCCAAGCAAGAAGAAGAGAAGAGAAGCATAGGAGGGAATAGCTCATCCTCGATCAACACCGGAATTCTTCCCGCCGCCTGAACAACGCCGGAGTTCGGCCAGACACTCGAGTGACGCCGGAATTCTTCCCAATCAACATAAAAGTCCTGCTCGACTTCGGATTTCAGTACGACTTCCGGATGACACATGAATTCTGCCCAATTTCCTTAGTGACGTCGGAACTCTGCTTGACTTTGTAACTGAATTCCAATTTAGAAGAAACTCACTGTAATCTGATCGTCCTAACTTGGTGGATAAATCAGTCTCTTATATATCAAACAAAACACTAGTTGAATTATTTCAACTGGGCATGGCCTCGTAGTTTTTCCCCTTTCAGGGTTTTCCACGTAAAAATACTGGGTTTTTTTTCTGTTATGTTTGTGTGCTGGATATCCGTACAACGCTGAGATGAAAATTTTTTAACTTTATCGCCGCGTATATTCTAGCCCGCAACAGCTACTATATTGCAAGAGTAATGTATTATAGCTTCTTCAAAGGAATGTATTATAGCTTCTTCAATCAATTAGTTTAATTAAATTCTCTTTCAATTAAACCCTGAATTATCAATATCACTATATTCAGATCAAATTAGTACCTGCTCTAATTTTCAGTATTAATTGTTAACCTAATATAAATTCGATCTAGTGGATTCGGGTCCAGGCATGCCAACCCATTTTCCGTCCCGCCGCGCAGCTTTAGGTATAAAACTTTCGAAGGAGCCCTACGCCTCTTCTTCGTTATTCCTTGTAATTTTCTCAAAATTCCATCCATCGCCGGTCTCTACCGAGTGAGTACTTCAAACTTCACACAGATCTTTCTGCAGTACTTACCGTCTATCGTTTGAATTACTCGATCATAATTTAGGGTTTTGGTTGACCGCAACTTTCTTCCCTGTCTTTTCTTCCTAGGGTTTCATTTTCTTCTACTATTGGCTTTCTGTAATTAGGGTTTTGGGCTCTTTCATCATGCACAGGTTACGTGCTTGTTTCAACTATAGTTCTCTCTTATTTTTTCAGCAAGGGAACGCTTGGCGTGATTGTTGTTGTAATCACTGCAATGAAATAATTTTCATGATATTTTAAGCATAATTTTTAGAGTATGCATCGCGATCTCGCATATTAGTTTCGCAGTATCAGTTGCAGTTCTCCTCACTAGAACTATTGCAATGTTCTTCTTATATATTCTACAAATAAAGGTTTCCTGCGAGTGTATTCGTAATCAGTACTAAGAAAGTAGCAAAATTGTATTTTATTATAATTGCTATACCATGCATCAAAATCTCATAGATTATACTCGCATTACCATTTGCAGGTGCTCCCAACTTAAACTATAGCAATTATTCTTTTATCCTTGGCCCTACTGTATTCAAGCATGTGACCTTGATGATTGCATTTTCAATACTTGTATCTTTGAAAATAAGCACCATGAATTTTTTTAGGCCTTGTTGATGTATATTATAGTTACAGAGAACTTGCTATATATCATCTTTACTTTGAACTGCTTGGGCAGTTTAGTTTCTCTTTTGCCTGATGTCTTATTTCTTGGTGGAACATGTGCCCATTGCAGTTTTTTTTTATTAATAATTAAAGAAGATGGAAGATAATCTGCAAGTTGTTACCCAAGATTCTAGCATGACCGAATATTCTACTGTTATTGATGCTCCTTCAACATACACTATGACCGATTCAGAGAAGGGGGTTGAAAATTTGGACTCATCTGCATCACTTCCCTCAGCACAAAATTTTAATCCTGATGATGAAAATGCCCATGCTTATGGCACAAGTTATGGTGCAGTCCATGTTGCCAATGGGAATGTAGTATCTGATTCTTGTGCTGTTGCTGCTGCTACTGATAACCTTGTTAGCCAGGAGGTGGATGCAGCTGTTCCCACTCATACAGTCAACTATGATTCGATGAATGGAGTTCCCAGTGAAATAGTTGACTACCAGTCCTCGGAAGTTGTTGAATATGGTGCTTCTGATCCACATGCTGGGGCACAACATTTTGAAGAAGGTACTTGGGCTTTCATATTACTTGAAGCTATTCTTGGAATTTTTTCTTGGGAAATCATTTAGCATCTATCTTTTGTCACAGTTTTTTGTTAATTTTGATGTTTTGGTTATTCTTTGTGCCTAGTTATCCACCAGTTAATTTTGTTTCTATGCTTTGTTTTATTTGTATGTTGCAGTGTATTCTGCTGAGGAGGAAAGGCTATGGAATGCTGTTAGGATTAACTGTTTGGATTTCAATGCCTGGACAGCCCTCATTGAGGAGACTGAGAAAGTTTCAGAGGTGTCTCAGCTGGCCTCCTTTCAATTATTATTTTTACCTCATTCATGGATTTTCACCTATTAATTTGGCTGAACATATGAATCACATGTTTGCCTAAATAAATATTCATTTTGACATATTAATTTGACTGACCATATGAAGCATATGCTACCTAAATAACATTAAACATGGACTTTTAATGAGAATAAAACAATGACATACCAAGTACATGCATTTGAACTATCCAATTTATGAAATTGTTTGCAGAAATAGATTCATATTCTTGATTTTCTTATATTGTTTGCATTATTTGTGTCAACCTAAAAACATGATGGATTTACACCTTTTGCCTGGTCAGTTATGTTCTATACTAGTAAGATTGGGTTATACATATATATATATATGTATATATATATATATATGTATGTTTGGATAATTTTTAAGTATGGTAAATCAAACCATCCTAAATGCTTAATTGTTGGGATAGTTTTCTTTTATTTCTGCTTTGTAATCTAGCTTGGACTACGAAGTGTATTCTAGATTCTTGATCCTAAATTGATTATGGATTTTTGATATGGATCACATATCCTAATTTGGAGTTTAAAATATTTAATATGAATTTTCGACCATATCAAATCTAAAATCCAAAATTTTGATTATGGATTCTTTTCGTAGTCCATATCCCTTCTGAACAGTTAAATTTTGTGGGAGCTGTGTTAGAGTTGATTGAATGAATATTTGTTTTTTTTGTTTAGTTTGGGGAAAATTTTGTCAATTTTTTTACATAAGGGCTTACTTTGAAGAGTTGCATATTAAATTTATACTCGCAAAAATAAATTAATCTATAGACCATTGTTAAATGACTTTTTTTCCTTCAAGGATTCGGTTTGATTTCTTCCCCTTTTACTTGTTTTCCACTTTGCTTTTTTGTTTTGATATCAATTTTAAAGGACCCATGCTTTTTTGGTTCTGCCTCTGTTTTTTCTTTTTGAAAAAACCCCCTTCTTTAATAAGCGAAAAAGGTTTGTTGCATTTTCGAAATTTCTGAAAAGAAAGGCTTGTTACTTTGTAAAACAGATAACTTGAACAAATTAGCATGTTATTTGATTTGATGACGTCTTTTTATGTAATGTCATGCTATTAGTAGATGCCTCTTTTTGTTTCATTGACATCTTTAATAAATAACATTTAACCTTTTTTTAAGTCGTTTACATTTTCAAGCTATCCAATGGTTAAAGTAAAGAACAATAAAAAGAGGTAAAATAGCTACCATTGATCTTTCTAGATAACATTGCATCTCACAAGTAGCACAACATTGTACCACACTGCATTTGGTAAATCACTTGGTCATTAAAATAATTACGTTATCTAGATGACATTTCTATTTGATAATATTGAACCGAACAAATTCTAGATAGTATGTTTTCTTGTTCTATTGTTTTCTTTCACAAAACAGAACCAAAAGTACAGAATGGCAAATTTGTAAGGCCTAAGCTACTGCTACTATTTGAAATATTGAAAGATATGGGACAGAGAATTACACTTCTGCATGAATAAAAAATTCCTCAAGAGTTTTGAGGGAAGGTTCTTATCAGATATTGTGTCCAATGATATGGCTTCTTAGTTCCCTTGGTATCATTTTTGTACACTATATATATATATATATATGGGCCTTGGCCGTATAAAGGGCACTGCTATTTTAGCAATGTGATTTTGGCAAGATTCTTGGTGCATTCCACTCTCTTTTATCAATTTTCCTATCCCTTTAGATCTGCCTACCATGGAAGAGTTGTTGGAGCAGAACAAGGCAAGAAGAAATATGAGAAGTGTGAGGAAGTATGAAAAGCTTAAATTCCCTGTGAAAGCTGAAAAGGTGCAGAAGAAATAGAAGGGAATTAAATAAAAACCTGTGATTTAACCGAGAGCTGCACTTGATATAATCTATGGTGAGGAAGATGTTGGAGCAAGGTGGTTGGAACAAAGATATGGCTGGAGAGGGGCTTCTTCACAATTGCTTTGGTTTAGGCCTTCTTTATATTGCATGCCTCTCACTTTTCATTTGGATCCATGAACGGTTTAGAAGAATGAATTCAATGTTCTCCATAGGCAAGGAATGAATAAAGAAGCACTTCACAAACGCAAATATTTCATAATATGGAGAAAATTGCACACGAAAGAGCTACAAATCCTTGAAGAACATGCCATCGAGTTCCTAAGTTTGTACTGTTCTAAAGCAAGTTGAAAATACTGGTCAATCTGATTATGAATAGTATGATGCACCATTTTCTTAACCTCTTTTTCACAGACAATCTGCACTTGACATTTAACAAAGCCTATAGGCATCTAATTGCATCACTTCCTTTAGAAGCTTAGGCTTAATTTACGGGTGAAATGAGCATTTTTGTGTTATTGCAGTAGTTATGTCCTCTGTTTTTAATTTTTTTCTTAATTGCTTGTTTTTAAAATTGTCAACAATGACATTCATTGCAAGCATCAAACTTTTTTTCCCTTAGCCCTTTTTATTCTGCCTTTTTTGTCCAGTAAGAGATATAGTGAACTTAATCTTATGAAAGCTAAATCCATATGGGGTGTCTCATTGAGATTATGTTTTATTGGATTCTGAAAATATTTTGTTTTTTTCTTAAATTATTATTTGAACGAAAAGATGTCTTAAAATTGAAAGGATCTGCTCGCTTAATAGTTGGCATTAAAGTCATCAACGTAACATTTTTCATATTCCTTCTCTTTTACAAAGGGACAAGAAAATCAGGTTTTGTGCTGAAATAATTTATAAGTGTTAGTTATTTCCAAGTAAATTTCAGTTTCAATAAAGTTTAGCCTTGAGTTTTTATTGATATTAGGTTTGGAATGTGCGGTATGTGAAGGTCAAAGGCTGTGTGGGTGGGTTGATATTTGGTAGTTGGAGCTTGCTGTTATGACTTGAGAAAGAAATAGTATTGTTAGTCCTTATATTAAGTAAAAAAAATAAAAAACTCATGAATGTCTGGTGTGAATTGTTTTCTTTCCAGATTAACATCTTAAAGATTCGGAAAGTCTATGACGCTTTCTTGGCTGAATTTCCCTTGTGCTTTGGTTACTGGAAGAAGTATGCTGACCACGAGGCTCGTCTAGACGGTGCTAACAAGGTATTGGAAGTCTATGAGCGTGCAATTCTAGCTGTTACCTATTCCGTGGATATTTGGTTGCACTATTGTCTTTTTGCAATATCAACTTATGAAGACCCAGACATCATTCGAAGGTATTTTAAAAAATATTTCTACATTTTTTTTTGATTAGCTGTGATTTGTTTGTTCCTTTCTGTGGGGTTTCCTGTGTATTCTTGTTCTTCTAACGTGGTTTTGATATGTATGAGGCAGCCATACAAACATATTTGGAAGAAAGGTTTGCTGGGATTGCACCTTAGAAAACATAATGTTCAATACTCTTGGTTTTGGTCTGCTCAATTCATTTCAATTCATTTTTTTACAAGCTCTTATCTGCATAATGTGGCTTTATTGCCCCTGTTTTTCTCGTTGAAAAGGTCTTATTAGTAATCTCGTAGTACACGATTACTTTAAGTATCATACTCTTGATGCCACCATGGGTGAACGAATATTCAAAATGCTGCTGGAGAGGTCAGGCATTATTAGGGGCCTTGGTTGCCCTCATGCTCTCCTTGGTTAGAAGAACATGGTATGAGCATTTCAGGAAGGTAAATGCAGTGTGTTAGTGTGTAAGTTCAGATTGGTCATATGTTGCATGGTTAAATTTTTATGTTTATGCTCCTATTCTGAGTGCTTCCTGTTTTATTTATGGGTTCACACCCATCACGAGGAGTGAAAAATTTGAGCTTTTGCTATTCTCTTCATGTTTTTCAGGTTGTTTGAAAGGGGATTGGCTTATGTTGGAACTGATTATCTTTCGTACCCACTGTGGGATGAATATATTAGATATGAAGAATCACAACAAGCATGGAGTAATCTGGCCATGATTTATACCAGAATACTTGAGAATCCTATACAGCAATTGGATCGCTATTTCAATTGGTAGTATACATGCCACATACGTGCTTATTCCTTTTTTGTTTCCTAGTATTCCTTCAAGTGGATCATGTGATTTAACGCACATATATTCTCTTGTTTTGAAATATTTTATTTATATATTGGAATCTTCTCTTGCATTGTATGTAAATTGTAAAGTACTACCCTATAATACTCAAACTAATGCATTCCATTGTGTGCACGATTAAATCTTTGTTTATTCAGTGTGCTTTCTGATGCTTCCTTTCTGTTATGATCTTACCGCCCATTGCAATGCGATCACCTATATTCACTTTTATATCATTGAACTAGTTTTAGATATAAATTGCAATGCGATCACCTATATTCACTTTTCATTCTGCACCATAAAGCATTGCATGTCTTAGTACCCCATCTTATAGAGTTTTTTCTTAAGTTTGAGAGGGACTTTTCTATCACACAACAAGCCTGATGCATTCCTCTACTTCAACCATCCAACTTGAATTCTACTAATAATATCCTCATCTATTTACCATCACTCTGAACAATAGACCCAATATATCTAGAACATGTATTCTTATTAATGACTTAGATCACCCAAAGTTACAATCCCCTATTAGATCTATTAGATATAAATTAACAATGTGTATTTTTTATTTTTTTAAAGAACTCTGTTGCTTCATTGTATTTTATTGTTTCTGTTATTATTTTTCAGCTTTAAGCACTTGGCTGCCAGTCGAGCTTTATCTGAAATAAGGACTGCTGAAGAAGCTGCCTTAGTGGCTTCTTCTGTTGAAGTTGACGGTCATGGTGTTGAGGGAGAGGTTTGTGCTGATGGTGTAGAGCAATCTTCTAAACCTGTAAGTGCAGGCTTAGCAGAAGTGGATGAGTTGGAGAAGTATATTGCAATTAGGGAAGAAATGTATAGGAAAGCTAAAGAGTTCGATTCTAAGATCGTTGGTTTTGAAACAGCTATTAGAAGGCCATACTTTCATGTCAGGCCTCTTGACGATCCAGAGCTTGAGAACTGGCATGGCTATCTGGATTTTACTGAAAGAGGCGATGATTTTAACAAGGTACATTTATTAGTTGGTTTGATATATATGCACTTTGTGGATCAAAAATCTCATGCAGTTTTCTTGGAAGGGCTATAAACCTTTGAACTACAGTGGCTTATTATATTGTTTAGTGGCTAGTGTGTTCGAAGAAGCTACCTATTAAAATGGGATATTGAACTGAGGATAAAGCACATGGACATACTATGTGGTTTCTGTGAGGCTAAGTACTTCAACCCTCATTAGTCACTGGACATTCTGGGTGTTACACAGTAAAATATCTATTGTTTGAAATTCAAATCTCATACATGCAGGTGTTTGATTATTGCTCACCCACTTAACCATCTATGTCTTTGGAAAGGGGGGTCCCTCTTCATATTGAGGGGCTTCTCTGATCGGCGGACAAAGTACTGCTTGTGCAAACCTCAGTTGAACCATGACAAATTCTTTAAACTTTCAGTTTAATTGTTAGTTATTTATTATGTTTTTAAATTTCTCTTTATATATTCTCTTTCATTCTGTTTCAGGTTGTCAAGTTATATGAAAGGTGCTTGATTGCATGTGCCAACTATCCTGAATACTGGATCCGCTATGTGTTATGCATGGAAGCTAGTGGAAGTATGGAGCTTGCTATCAATGCTCTGGCTCGAGCCACCCAAGTCTTTGTCAAGGTGCTATTTTCTTCTTATGCAGAACCATGCGGTGTTCAGTTCACTTTGCTCCTTTTTAATTTAGAATGCAGCTTACACATTGTTTTGCTTCTTTTTAATTTAGAATGCAGCTTACATATTATAGTTTACCTATGATGAAATTGGAATGGTTAAAGTCATGTAATACCCATAAGAACCTGTTTGCTTATTATATTCATTTGTCGATTAGTTGATTGATAAATTTAATTTATTTTTGCTTATTGTGTGTTGGTTTTTGTTTATTGATTCTCTGATGTTCATATATATCATTCCAATGGGAAATATACTATTCTGTAAGCATGCCTGTTAGACCTTAATGATTGGGTCCATCAATGCTGAATGGGAATGTTAATGCGGCAGTGTGCATATTGTGGGTGTGGTATGTTCCCACGAATGGAGTAGCAAAGTCATGTACAATCCAGATGAACCTGTTTGTGTTGAATCTGCTAATGATTGTCTTGTTGATAACTGAGTTGATCTTGGTACATAATAGTTGTATCTTGGGTTTGGATGGAAAATCTCTCTTTAATAAAATATTACACTCACGGTGATGCCAAATGGTTGGATGTGTAGTATTTTGATATTATTATTTAAAATACATGAGCATTTAGGATTATGGAAGTTATAGGCGAATCAAGTTTAATTTATCCTTCAACTAAGCCTTAGGTGGGCAATGAAACATACTTAGGTAATTTACTTGTGTTGAAGAATCAATTGTTTTTATATCAAGATGCCTATTATACTACTGTTTTTTTTTTGTGTGTTAAGACAATTAATAGAAAAATATAAAAGGAACAAAATGATCTTTGAAATGCATATGATCAAGTACAATGATAATTGATTTGATGGGCACTAAGAAGGAAGATGTGTAATTGGTATTCTTAAAATTTTAAAATATGCATGATTTAGTAATTATTAGCATATAAAATAGTTATAGAGTGACTGAAGAGTTTTTTAAACAATTACATTATACCGAAGTTCAATATTTAGTCCATTTTATTGACATTTTTTAATGTGTTAGCTATGAAGATGTTTATAAAAGACATCCAAAGTGTAGTAGCTTGTTGAATGCTATTTGCACATGACACTTTTGAAATAAATGAGTTAAAATTTATGAGGGAAATTATTAGAAGATAAATGTGCTTAGAATTAGTGAAATTAAAATTGATAATATGATATACAATTTTGTTTTATATAAAATTGATAATTAACATTTGATATTTGAAGATAAGTAATTTTGAAGATTGGAAGGTTTAAGCGTCTTTAATCTATTTAAGAAGGAGATGGATGGGATGATATTTTTAAATTTAACAAAGTTCAATGGTTAAAACCGAGAAGCTCCTTAAGAGTACTATGCTAAAAGAGATTATTATGAAATAGTATGGTTAACCTTTGTGTAGCTCAACTTAATTTGGTTATCTAGATGTAAGTGCTTAAAGACAATTAAGTTGCTAATAGACAAATTTAGTATAACTAAAATATGATTGTTGAAATGAATATGGGAGTAATAGGAATGTGTTAGGAAATACTTGGAATTCCCAAGTAAAACTATCTTAATGAAAACAACGAGAACAATCCACAAATCCAAAGGAAAAACTAGAAAAAACAATAATTTTTATTACAATAATCAAACTAGCGGAAGAAAAATAACAAGATACAATTGATCCTCTATTTGAGAGGAGGATCTATCTCTCTCAAATATCTAGATGCCACTAGAGCCCAAAAACCTAAACCTAAGAGATCTCAAATTTTAGCCAAATTCAAGATGCCCTAACCCTAGCAAAATATATTACTTAATTCATAAAATTCAAAATGAAATCTCTAAACAGCCCCTACTTTGAAATTTCCCTTATAATTCCCTCAAAAATATTTCCTAAACACCTCTCTCATGGCGGGGCGATCGGATCATGCGTACAGTAGGAGAAACTTCCTCCCGTTTCATCCGTAAGCCGGTCCCGTATGGGCTGGCTGGACCGGCTCAGTGGACCGGTCTAACAATACTCCCCTCCCAAAGATCCATCTTGTCCGCAAGGTGGAAAGACTACACCCCCTCCATTCCTTTGTCATCACAAATGGTAGGAATCTGAAGAGTTCGGTCCTTAAACCTGTGCCCTGGAGTATACCTCATTAAAAGTCTGATCAAATGTAGATGCAAGAGCTTTTGAGTTCTGTTGTAGTAAATGTTGAGGATGAAGAAGATGATTTTAAGGAGATAGATGAAGAGAGGTGGGCTACAAATTTGGTAAGAGAGAGAGAATGCAAATGATGATGTTGAAATAGATGGTAGAGAATATTAGACAAATCATATTCTATGCATGCTGTAAACTTAATCAATGTAATTGATTTTAAATATATCTTTTGGGTACTTTATTTAAGATGATTTGTTTAGCAAGTTGTTGGTACTTGAATGCAACAGAATTTAACCTTCATTATTTTACGTAACTGTAGATTATTGTAATAAATCGATCAGTAAGTTCTGCATGTTTTCGCAGTTATCATTCCTGCAGTACTTCTCGTTTGTATAGTTTTATTCACAATACTATGTTTGACCATCTATTTTTCTAGAAAGTTGATATAACTTTTCTTTCTTTGCTTTTACAGAAGCAACCAGACATTCATCTTTTTGCTGCTCGATTCAAGGAACACAGTGGAGATATGTTAGGTGCACGCTCAGAGTATGAGCTTCTTTACTCAGAAATATCACCCGGCTTTTTAGAAGCTATATTGAGGCATGTGAACATGGAGTATCGTTTGGTAAGTGGTTAGAAGAAACTTTTGATTTCCTGAGATATATATCTCAAGTTTTAAAAATGTGTAGGGAAACAAGGAGGACGCTCTCTCCATATACGAGAAGGCTATTGCTGCTGAACAGGAAAAGGACCAGTCTCAGATCTTACCGATGTTGCTTATTTTGTATTCACGCTTCTTGTATTTGGTATGCTTTGTACAAATTGCACGACATTTCCTGTCAACTGCAATACCATTTGCACTGAATCAGCATTGTTTTCATCATAATTATGATCGTCATCATCAACTTTATCTGAGCTATTTGGATTAAATTTAAATATTCTCCTCCTCTGAATCTTGTTAGCCATTGCATTTGGTGTTGATTCTAGTTTAATTGAATCATTTTTAGATAACCTTTTTCTGTGTTTAGTCTACCCATTTTCTTCCTAGCCCTTTTATGAATTCTAGTGCACCCTTACCCTACTATGGTTCGTCTACTCTGAATTATACATGACTAAACAATCTCATCTATTTTCTGTTATTTGGCCTTTTCAATGATACTCTCACAAAATATTTTTTAACTCACTGTTACTAAATTTTTTATAATCAGTATGCTGTTCAGTTTTGCTTTTTGCGTCTTAACAATGAGATGTCTTCTATATATTTGGTTTAGTTTTGTCTACATATGTAATATCTCTCATTGAATTGACATGATATAGTTGTGATATGAGTTAAAATTCCTGATCAGAATTCTGGGGAGAAGTGTTTTGTGTTCACTTATGGGCTTGATTTGTCTGGATTTTTAGCATATGAACTGCTACTTCAACTTTTTTCAAGTTATTGGCAACCAAGCACTTTGGTTTGTTATGCAAAGATTTGGTACATGATACTGGGTTTGGATATTTAGACAAGCAGAACGAATAATTTATTTGAGTTGACAAAATATTGAAATCTATTTCTTCACGGTTATTGTAATTATGATAAGATAAAAAATAATTGGTATCTTGATGGGGTTGATGATTCTTGATAGACACATTGTACCTTAAGTATTTGAGTAGTTCACACGGTCACCTTGCTCATCATATTTGACAGCTCGAAGTCAAGTTGTTCTCGTGAAATGGTTTGATTATCACATGCTTGCAATCATATTCTTCAAGATTGCATGAGTTAACTTATCATTTGGCTTATGTGCAAGCATTCACAGAACTTCTCAATAACCTTTAAAAAAGTAACTGTTGCTTTGATTGCAGTAGTGTTACGTATGATGATGATAATGCTATTTATTTATTTATTTTGCGGGCTTCTGAGGCATTGTGGGGATGGAATTGTTGCAGCCTAAGCTTTTTCAACACTGGCATGGATTGTCATATTTATTTTGGGTTTTATTTAGGTTTTGTTCTTTATTGTTTTGCAGGTTGCTGGCAATGCTGAAAAAGCAAGGGACATTTTCTCTGGAGCCCTAGAAACTACTCAACTATCAAAACCTATTCTTGAGGTTGCTTTCTGTTGAGATACATTTTTTTACTAAAATTTTGCTTTCTCCTTGTAGTTATTATATTGAACTTGATTTTACTTCTGAATAGGCTGCCATTCATTTGGAATCAATTCTTCCTTTTCCAAAGCGTATTGAATATTTAGATTTACTGGTCGAGAAGTTCATTACGCCTAATACAGACAACTACTGTGTGGCTAGTACAACTGACAGGGAGGATATATCATGCATATTTTTGGAGGTAATTAAGCTGCATTTGGTAGCTTCTAAATTATGGAAATATGCTCCAACTTTAATGACTTCAGTTATTAGTTTCTAATACCAGATGCAAATGCTTGTTTATAGACCTTTTCAGGTGATGAATTTCTGTTTATATGCATCGAAGTATAATCTTGACAGTACCCTTGTTTGATACTGCTATGTTTCATCTCATTACCTGTTTTTTATTTGCTTGAGTATTTAATAGTTAGCACCCGACCATTAAGAGGTTCCAACTTATTTAGCATTCATGGATTATATAGTTAATACATATTCAAAATTTTTTTACATGACACATCATCTTCATCATCATCATCATTAGGCCTACAACCCAATGTATTTTGGAGCAACTATATGAATTATCATTACCCATTCCTAATGTGTTGTTTGAGGTGTTAGTTTTATTTTATATAATTTTTAATAGAATTTCTATTCACATTTTTTTTATTGAAAGGCTGCACGAACCCATTCTCATTGAAAATAATCAAATATTTGCAAATAAAAAAAAAGGAAACTAAACAACTGTAAAAGTTAAATAGTTGTGCTAAACAGATCTAAAGGCACATTTGGAAGATTAGTCCCCATTCTCTTCTTGTAGTTTTGAAGAGGCTTTTTTCTAATAATTGTCCATCCAAAAAAAAGCTTGGTGGATTATGTTGAGCTAGATGGTTGTCTTTTCTTTTCTTATGAAAAAAAGGGGAAAAAATCATCTATTGTTTCTTTCTTGTCAAATATTCTACACTACAGTAACGAAGATGTACTAAATATCCTTTGAACCAATCTTGATGGAGTGCCTCTCCAGTAAGAACAAATAGATTCAATATTATCTATAGGAACTATGACGCTAAAGAGAGGATGAAGCTTTCTACATATATTAGAGATGAAGTCACAATTAAAGATGTTAAAGCCATCATCTAATGAGAATTACACATCATGCTAGTTGTGGAGGTAGCCAAGCTATGTCATGCTATAGGAGCTATGACGCTAAAGAGTGGATATTAATATGAGAGCTCATATTATATATGTAAAGTATGTTAGGAACTTTACTCATGTAAATGTTTGAACTAAGAAAAGCATTCTTTCCAATTCCATATATACTAATGAGTTTGAATGTCGCTATTTATGAAAAAATTGTATAGGACGTTGAAAAGATTGTTAAAGGAAAAAATCCACTCCAGTGAGTTCTAATTGGAATTGAGCAAGAACCATCCTTGTTATTTTTTGCCTATCCATTTTCTTTCCTATTTTTTCTCATCAAGTTTATGTTATTGACTAATGCATCCTCCAGAAGCACCAAAGTATTTTCCATTACCTTATCTTTAATTGATGCTACTCTTATAATCTCTCTCATATAAACAAATTCGTTTATCCTTCTAGTTTTAATGTATGTACATCTTAAATGTTATTACTACAACTCTCCACTCGTCTATCTATAATTTTTTTGTCTTTGAATGTTTTGATCCATATAATCTCGTTGCTATATTTAAGTTTTGTTGAATTCATCTTTATGTCTCTATGATAATCTCTTATTGCATTGTATATTTTAAGCACTTCAACATTTTTACTATCCAACCTTATATAATTAAAAGTTATATTTTCTTTTGTATTCCCATTCTTCAATATAATAGGTATATGTTTAAACTTTTCACAATTGAGTATCACCTGGCCTTCTTACATATTTGTTGATAATTATTAAGTAAACAACGACAAGTAAAATGGCATGTACTTAACCCTTGTTCTATTAATTCTAAGTCTGTTATCTTTTAAGCACTTTAATGTATTTTAACTTGTTTCTACGGGGGCCTTACCATTTTGAACAATTTTACTCCAAATAAGTTCTGCCATGATAACTCAGTATATTTTTTGTAAGCATCTCTCTTAAGCCAAACAAAGAGACATTGATGTAAAACATACATGCAAAGATGAGTTACTTAATGAATTTGTACGCTTAATATTTAGAGCACAATAATTATATCCTTATAGTGATTTTGAACGACAAAATAAAATACAAGGAACGATGACATGAGCTTAGGCTAAATCACATGCATGGGAGTTAAGATTATAAAACAGTCAATTTAATCTAATTTTGCGTAACAATAATCCCTAAACTAATAATGAGTTTAGTTACTATAAGAATCCACTCACTCAATTATCTAATTTACTAAGTTATAGCTGATGAGAATTAACATTGTCTTCATGACTCCACAATAACTACAAATGAGGGGTAAACTAGGAAAATAAGAGACTATGAGGGAGAGTCTACCCAAATAAAGAAGTTCTACGAAGCTCTGGTGGTAGTCTATAGGTTTGAGAGGAAGTAGACAACAACTGGCAGCTTCTTAGGCGGCTGGACGACAACAAATCCTTGCTAGTCTTTGGACATCAAGCAGGTGGCCTCGGGCAGATTCCGGACAGCAGCTTTTGACCCTCCAGGATGCTGGATAGCGGTTTTCTTGACTCCGAAATTCTGGACAGCAAAGTACACCAGTCTGGAATGCTGGACAATAGCTGGACAGCCGGGGACTGGACAGATCACATGACTTGCCCAGAAGCCTGAGCAATAGCTTGGCGGGGAAAAATCTCAGACTTCCAAATCTCTGGAACCAGGGAACTAAGGAAATATTCTAGGGAATCTGTGAATGGCAGCAGGAATAACCTTGGGATTCAAATTAATTCCAAATGGGAGGCTTGATTGGGGCGGCAGCCAAGGGGAGTTTAATGGGGTCTAGGCGGCGAATTGGAGAGAGAAAGTGAGGGGAAAATGATTAATTAGATCCGTAATTTAAGGAATCTAGTTAATTAGTGGGGGGGGGGAGCTTGGTTGGCTGGCCAAGGAGAGAGGAAGAGGGTGAGTTGGGGATTAATGAGGTGGGCCCAAGCAATTAGTGGCTTATTTTCTAAAATATGTAATTAATTTCAGATTGGAGGATTAATAGGGAAGTTTCCTAAGAATGAATCACCTTAATTGGAGGGAATTTGAAATTGATTTTAAATCCTTTCCAACTTAGTATTAATCCCAAATAGGAAACTAATGAAGGCTAGTTGAAGGGATCCAAAGGGAGCAAGGGAGACTGGCGGGTTGGGGATTTGGAGGAGGCGACTGGTGGGGGAAAACCATCAGTGGTCCGGCGGCTAGGTTGAGTTGGGAAGGTGGTCGGCGGAATGTGGAGGGGTTGGGTAGGGGTGGCGGTTTGGGAAGGGGAAAACGGGAAGTGGGGCTGCCGTCGGCTATGGAGGAGAGGGGATGTGACCGGCTGTTTGGGGAAGAAAAAGAGAGGAAAAGAAAGAACGAAAAGAATAAAGAGAAAACAAAACCAAGAGCTCACCCGCCGGTGACGGTCACCCGTCGGTGAGCTGTTAGGTACTCCGTTAGCCTCTCCTAGGCTTCACCACCACTCTCTAGAACTCACAAAGAGATCATGACAAAAGCTGAATTTCATTTCAATAATTATCATCCAAATTACAAGAGAACTAGCCTATAAATAAGCATCAAGACAAGAAAAGAAACGACAACTAAAATGCCCTTCGGGCTACAACATCACATGACCACTCCTAGGGGTAAAATGGGAAAATAGAGAAGTAAAAATAAACTAGTACATAAGACACATCAAAAATAAAATAAACTCCAGATTGTAGCCGTTGATCTTCCGATGTTCTCATCAGATATAGCGTGAATGCTTATATGTAATTTAGTCCTCTGATTGGGAGCTCTTTGTTTACTTAACAGTTGTTTCTTATGCTTATCAGACATTTCTTTGATAGATTAAGCCAAGTTTAGACGTGATTCCATCCCCTATCCTTCTCTGATTGAAGTTTTTTTATTTAAAGTTAAGGTTTTAGATAATATATATTCTATGGCTGCCACAGGTAAAGCTTCACGGTAATGACTATTCTATCTTTGTTTTATAAGTCATTATATATACTAGTTTTATTGCACGTGCATTAAATGCATGTGGACAAAATTTTAAAAATAAAAATTCATCTCTTGAATATTTATTAGCATTATCATTCTTAAAAAATATTAAGTTTATCGCTATAAGTAATTACAACTATTAATTTGTTTAATTAAGAGATATATTTTTTGTTAAAATTATAGTAGAAAAAATATATTAATATAATTTCACTGTTTAATATTGAAAAATACATATTTTTTCTCTATGGAACTAATAATATAATAAAATCAATCATTTAATATTTTGAAAAAAAAATCACAATTTTTTATCATAAACATGCTATTATAACATTATATTAATATTTTAAATTAAAATTATAAAAGAGAGGAATTTTATCTTAAAATTGTAAGTGCGCTCAATGCACACTATAATAATTTTTAAAGTTTGCACAAAAAATTCATAATTTTTAAAGTTAGCACAAAACTAATAAAAGTGCACAATCACTATGTCTACCTTATTAGGATTGTACAATATAATCAGGTATGGTAAGAATTTAAAATTAATGACTATATACTATAATTATATTTACAATACATGTAATCTAAAAATAATGGAATCCAAATTATAATTAACAACGGTATGAAACAAAAATTTTCTAATTTTAGAGAGAAAGAAATAGTCATTGGAAGATAAAATTAATATCTACAGGCACACAAAAGAAAAATAGGATTTATAAATCTAACAAAAAAGAAGGAAGTAAAAATCTAGTGCTAAAAGTTTTGAATTGAATATCTCCTAAGTGTCCATACCCCAAAGAAAATTGAATATTATCACTAATTAAAACCCATAATCACATTAAGTCATTGCTTTAAATATAATATTTCAAGCACTTACCAAAATATAGTAATCACTTTGACTACCCTTGTGATGAACCCATGGCAAACCATAAATTCCATTGAGATTACTTGAAATATTGCCTAGCTTCATTTCTATTTTGTATACAGAAGAGTTACCAATTTATACTTGTGCAATAAGAAAAAATAAGATCAACATGAAAAATCAAAATTATGAGATAGAGTTTTGATTTATC